TGGTGGCTTGTCTATATTGGGAATGACACATTATTGGTAGGGTAGCACAATCAGACTGTTGGCTATCCTTGTTTTGGGTATAAACAGAAGACTTCATTTTCCCCAGCTTCCTGGCTGACTCCTTACACCAGCACTAGTTTCATCAGCAACTCTTAACAAAAACAACATTTGACCCTGGAGGTAAAGGAAGCTAGAGGTGAAAGCATGACTGTTATCAAAAGAGGGAGAAGCAAAGAGGTCACACTTAGGCTTTTCAGTCTGTGGCCTTGAACCCAGGGCCTCAGCCTGTCTGACACAGATCTTAGTGGTTTCTTCTGACCCTGGATGACCTTCAGACCTGGCTGCCTATGACCTGGTATGACAAAGCTATCTTATTGTTATGGTATGTCAAACGTCAGAGACAGTGGTCCTTGGGGATAGATGTCTCAGAAAATGTTTCACATATCAAGAGGACAAAGGAAAAAATGAAAATATCCTGGGAAAATGCAAGCATGTAGCTTTCATGGGGCCCTCAGCACAGCTTGGCAGAATGCTGCAGGTCATGGATGAGGTACTTTGAGGTAAGCTCCAGGCTCAGCAGGGCAGGAGCCAGGATTACTGCAGGTCTAGATGGAGATAGATGGACAGAGCCATCAGGACACTGAAAACACATACACCCCTTTCCTGTACTGTAAGCCTGTCCATTTGAGATACTCAGTCTCCTCAGTTTCCACAGACAAATACTCAACCCTAGAGGTGGTCAAACCTTGGAATTTGTTCCATGAGACATTTCTGATATTTCAAAATGTGCTTTTGTTCCGATTCAGAATAATTTAGGATTGATGCATCACTCTTGTAGCATTGTAACTTTGTCAGAACCTCAGTCCTGACCTACAGGATCCCTTGTTGTTTCATTTCTCAGTTCTCTAAAGCCTACCTCCTTTAAAATCTGTTTTCTTCTTTACTTTCATTCTTCTAATAAGTGAAACATTTTGGAGAGTTTGAGCCACAGAAGGCATGTCCATTGAAATCAAAACTCAAGAACAAAATGTTAACACTTGGAAACAAATTTCAAAATTATCCAAAAAAGTTTGACTAATTCTATTCCACCCTTTACAACACAAGGTCCCATTTCTAATGTCAGTCTCAGCAGTCCATTACTTGGCTTCACAGTTGCCAAATTCATTCAAAACATTTGTTCTGCAAAGGGACACAATGGGATGAATTTGGTTCTTCTGAATTACAGCAGTTTGCTTTGATTCTGATGGCATACAACACTAAAAACATTCAGAGAGACACCAGATCAGTCCTTTCTGTGTTAGGCCCTTGGATATATTGATACTCACTGTCAGGGAATCTCCCAGTGCTGCTATGACTTTGATGTCAACTGGCCGTAGTTCATGAACTAGACAGGAGTGAGGAAAACAAGCAGGGTTAATCACGATTACTGAAGAGTCTTATCATTGATTAAGGTCCTGCTCTTGCTTCCAGTGCAGTCAACAAATATTATTTACTGAATTAGATGCAAAGTTCTACGCAAAATCAGGCATTAAACTAGAATAAGGAATAAACACTAGCAATTTGTGTCTGTGCCCAGCTTGTTCCAAATCATTTGGTTGAATAACAGGGAAGTAAATAAAGATTAAAGCAGCCTTTCACATGTCACAAAAAGACTGAAGTTGATTAGATTTAAAAGTTGATACACTCGTTCTGTTTTGGCTGTAGATCTATATTTTCACTCACTGCTCATCTATAAAGTATTTGTGCTAAGTCCATACACAATGTACCTACTGTACTGCAGCGCATAGCAGGCTTGTCCAGGTAGATCAAATCTGCTGGGTTTCTAATCAACCTGAGTAGACTCCAGCTGTCATGCTGCTGCTATGCTCCCCATATGTTCCTGAATATTATGTTTGCTGAACATGCCAGGTATTGCAAGGTACAACGTGCTGCTAAATATTCTATGCCTAATATGGTAGTTTTCTTTCTAGTGATCATTTGCAGTAATGGAGTTTTTTGTTTTTGCAAGCAAAACTGAAACCTTTTCCTAGGTGGTTTAGTGTAAGTAATGAAACTAAGTGCTCTCTCACCTGATGTTGGGACACTTTTAGATACTGTCTGTTCGGGACACAGCAGGTCACTGCCCCAATTCTTAAATGATAAAACAACAAGAAGTCACTTTGTGGTTAGAAGATATAAGCGTGCACAGGAATATGCTGAGCTAACTGTACCAACAAAACAAAAGCCAAAGAAAAATAAGTTCTAATTATTAGTTGCCTAAGCTCAGTAAGTCACTTTGAAATACTGTCTAACATCAAGCAGTTAAGTGGGTCAGAATATCATTGGTGCAATTTCATCTAGGTCTGGGGTGGCAATCATTCAGTCTGTATGCCAGATCCCGCCAGCAGAGCCAAATCATCCAGCCCCGCCCCCGCCTCCCTGATGCCATTGCCACATTGAGCCTGAGATATGGGAAACTCAGGTTTGAGAGCCTCCTCTGCCTGCCTGAGCATTTCTTCAGATGAAAAATTCTGCTCCAGATCAGCTAGAGCATAGACTTGCCCTTGGTTCCCCTATATCCCAGGCCAGTGACCTACTGCTCCATGAAACCATTCGGAGCGGGGCATTTTCATTGCACTGTGAAATGAAATCAAATTTTGACACCTTGAAAGGTACTGTGAAACAGAACTGTCATCCTCCAGTCAGGTCTAACCATCAAACCTTACCACACCTGCAAGACCTACCAATAGGTGTTATCCTTATTTTGCAGATAAGATAACTGTCAGTTGCAAAGTGTGTCTGTTTAGCAACAGTCAGGAGGCAAGCCTGGGAATAGCCAAGTTACAGTCCTATGCTACCTGCACCACCTCCCTGGGACAGCAACCAGATCTGCTGAAAAGGCAGTGAGGCAGGAAATTGTTTTAGCTGGCAATTTCTATAAGATCAGGGGTTTCCACACTTTGACTATACAAAGACCACATTAATCCATGAGATTATGAGGTCCTCACCTGATTAGCAGAAAAATCAAGCCCCTTGTAGCTGCCCGTATATTTAACATAACACCTGCAGTGTTACAGTCTGATTAGAAGCTATTATGAGAAAGGGCAGCTACATTCATTTTCTGGAGTGAAAGGAGAAAAGGCAGTTTCTACTCTTTCCTCTGCTTCTACCATCTCTTATTTTTTCCCCAGGCCACTGGATCTGGTCAACAATCTTTAAAAATGTAAGCATCATGAGCAAGGAAACTAACAACCCAACTACCTATTTGGCACTCCACAGTAAAATCATACTTAGGAGCAACAGTCAAGGAAGGTGAATGGCTATTTCCCTTTCAATTCCCACCTGAAACAGTTCTACGAAATAGCCCCTGCCACCCTTTGCAACCTACAAGGAATGGAGGGATTTTCACTATTGCATGTGGAAATGAGGTCCTCAAATGTGCACCACAGAGCACAGGTCAACAAGCAAGGACTTCATTAAAAGGACTCCACTAGCCAATCAGAACATGGCTTTAGGTGATCACCTTTCCCCAACTGTGCTCATATCAGCTGAATTGCATGACACTAGGAAGCTGGTGTACCCTTCAAGATGCTTAGCAAGAGATGGTTATCACCTCCTTTATTTGGGTTCCTTCTCTGCCTGAATCAATTCTCCAAAAGTTGTTTTTATCTCCTCTAATCTAACAAAGTGAAAGCCTTCCTTTAAGAGCTATTGGTACTTCATCTGGAACACAAGGCAAGTTACAATATTCAGCATACTTTCTGACAGTATTCCCACTTCTGTTGGCTAGAGTTGCTAAAGTACATGGAAATGTTGCCTCTAGTGGTTTGAGAGGCTATAAACCTGCCTTAGACTTGCATTTTGGGGCCAGTGGTAATTGGTTTCTCTCCCCAGTACTTGGCACATTTAGATCATCTAACGTAGTGAGGTATCTCCTGTGACTTAGTGTTAATGTTTCAGTGAAGTGTTCCCACTCTGCACTAACTGATACAACTGTTTGTAAGAACCATTTTAAAATGAAAAATTGAAATGCCTGGTCACGGAAGGGAAATGTAGCTGTGGATTCAAAGGCTCAGAGTAAGCTTCCTTGTCTGTAAATTCACAGTGATGTGAAAATGTGCCCACTAGAGAGGAGCAATGTTGTGTCTTATGTACATATATAATATACAGCAAGCAATACAGCAGTTACCTGAATTGACCCATTACTGGAGTTTTTGTTCCTGTATGTTCCCAGGAAGGGCTTATGCTGATGAATGAAGAGAGAGAGAGAAATGTAAGACCAGGCCACAAACAAATGGCAAAGCAAAAGGCCAAGTGATGTCAGGATTTATGACACTGAAAGATAATGCAAGTAGAAATGGCTTAAGCCATAAAACGTGGATCTGGACGTTGAAGCCACCCCCATTCTCAGCATTCAAATATAGGGTTTTGGTTTAGACATTGCAAAGAGAAGAACCAATGAGAAATTCAGATCTGGGTTAGAATTTTTCCCCTCCCCAGCCCTGTCCAAAATATATTTAGGGGTTTTTGGATCCATGATGCTTTGAAGAGCCCTGTTGCTGTAAGAGATGGGAAGTCTAGATGGTTCTGCCTGCCTCAGTAGTGAGGAGTGAAAGTTTGAGCCCTGGCAACCATGACAGCCTTTTCCCACAAGCACTGTACAAACACAGTGGTGATCTTTGTCCTTAGCTCCAACCGCATATAACATGGACACATGGGGACACCCAGATCATGCAAATCAGAGATCCTATCAAGATGCTTGCTGCTCCCTAATGAGAACAGCACATGAACCCAGGCCTAAATGCAGCAGGTTAAAGAGAACTTCCTACTGCAAAGCAAAGCAGAGTTATTCCAAACTGTTTAAATCAGAAAGCATGTGTATAATTTGATTAAAAATCCCCTTGTACCCTCTTCAGGCATTAATTGGAGATATTTGTTTGTCTTTGAATTGGTCCATTGCGCTTATAAACTGTTTGCTTTGGACTTTAGGGTCCCTACAGCCTACTTCAAAAATTACATGCACACATGCATGGTATGTTTGGAATTGTGTCAAGTTAGAGAAACAAAGGGACAGAACAGATGGAGCGCGTGGACATCTGAAACTGAAGACATTTTATGTAATAACAGATACACTAAACAACAGATGGAATTCCCTAGAAACAGTCTTCCATTTTACTTAGGTACTTAGCTGAAAGCCTTCAAATCAGAGCTTTCTAAGTAAGAAAAGAGCTGCTGTAAGCATCTACTAGGACTTCTTCAAAGTGCTTCAGACTTGCCATGTTCTAACCTCATTTCTGGAAGTAATGAGTATACATTCCTTACAGTGGACATGTCTACATGAGACGCTTACTGCACAGTAGCTTAATACCACTGTGCAGTAGTGTGGTGGTTAAAAATTGTGCTAATAGCTTACTGTGCAGTGCTATAATGCACAGTAAGCATCACAAAAAACTGTGCACTGGTGCTACTGAGCAGTAACTCTAGTTACTGCACATCTAGTTAGTACTTTATTAAGCAAGTATTAAACTACATGTGCAGTATCCAAGGTGCATTAACGAACATGTAGATGTGCCCAGTGAGTACCAAACATTTCACATCCCTCCTCCAAAAGTAATGTCTTCTAGCCAGGGTATGTGCAGGGAAAGTAGTATAAGTACAAATCATGTTTGGTCTGAACAGGAATATTTTTAAGAGAATCCATTAATGGGCAGGCTGAAGAAGTAGTAATTTAAGTGAACTGGAGAACCAGGGAAAGGTGCTGATTGACAGTCCAAGTGACCAAAATCCTGCATATCTATAGAATAGGGTCCAGAATAGACTGCAATAGTGCAAGCTTTCCCTCATTCACATGGATCAATTCTGACGCAAGGAGACCATCTTCCAGGATGAGACTGGAGCTCAGGTCTCCACAGGCTGCTGAGTCCTTAGTCTCTCTGCTGAGATCACCAAGAGAAGTGCCAATCAGAACCATCTGTGATAACATTTCCGTGTTCTGGATGCCTGACTTCCAAGAACTACCCTGAAACTTTATGAGCTTGTCCTGTGAAGGACAGGTAGTTTCTGAGGAGTTTTGAATCTGAGATTATGAAAAAGATACAGGGATAACTAATCCAGTGTTCATTTTTACTATGTTGCATGATAATAGAGCAGTTGGACCAGTAACATTAATACCAGGTAAACATGGAACATCTCAAGTAGCCCAGTAAGTCTGTGGAACCCATTGCTTTAGAAGACTATCAAGACAAAAACACCACAGAGCTGGTTTAAAAAAAGGAATGGATAAGTTTTGACCACAAGTATTTGTAGCAATACATGCCAAATTGCAGAAGTAATTAGCTCTTATGATGCAGGATAAGCTCCTCATTCTACAGGTACAGAAAGAATCTTCCTCCTTGTCCTCTCATTGCATTCAGTCAACTTCTTCTGAGGCACCGCTTATTGGTCATGTCAAGGCCTGGAATACAGGACCAGATGGACTGATAGTCTGATCTGCTGTGGCTGTTCATCTGACGTTCCAAACCATGAGTTGCACTTGTAATCTTTTCACAGAGGTGTTAACATTATCTGGTAGCTGAATGCTCAAATGCATATCACGAAGGCAGGGGATGCACACAGACCATGATGCTGGGCACATTAGAAATTTAGAGATGGATAATTTTTGTGCAGGAACAAGGTAGAAAAAGTAGGACCTCCCTCACTGACATATAGCAACTCATACAGCCGTGGCTCACCAACAAATAGAAGTTAGAGGTTACAAACAGTGAAACAACTGTTGTGGTGGTATAAGGAAATGCACGTGTTGGAGGCTGAAGGCTACATAAAGCTCCATAGATCCAGTGGAGGGGGGGAAATAAAATGAATTATATGGCATATATACCCACTCTTTAAAAGCAGTCACTAGAGGCCACATTTTTTAAGGTATTTGATGCTTAAAGATACAGACAGTTGCCTAGTGGGTTTTTTAGAAGTGCCCAGTTGTCTAACACCTATCAATTTTACTGGGAAAATCCGTTCTGAACCCTATGACAAATGCCACTAGACATCTATTTATTTCTTCAGGTGTCAAAGTACTTCTAAAAGCCTGAGCAAATATGTTAAAATACACACGTTAATCACACTGTTATTTCGTTTTTGTTTGGTAGCGTAAGGCCCAGAAGCACTGAAGTAATTCTGATGAGAGACTGTTCACACACAGTTTAACAGAGAAGCAGAATTTTAACAGACTTGTTTTAGGAAGAGTCAGTCCTTTACAAGGAAAGAGCAAAAGCTGGGCTACCCCAACACCCTGCTTCTACAATGGTGCTGTACTTACTGCAGTTGGACAGCTCAGGGCAATATTAGCTGTAAAGTCAATGGATTCCATTTTCTCTCCTATAGGCTGAAGCTTGTGGGGAGGAAAAAAAAGCTTCAATCAATTTATTTTATACTTGTGTTCTCTCACTTCATATTTCTAGTGCAGTTTTAATTCCAAGAACCCAAAGATGCTTTACCAAGTGGTGATAAACTGCCTGTGCCTATAGATCTTGATTTGTTTGCAGTTGAAATGTAACCATTTCTCAGATAGATGACTTGATGACTGTGTAACTGAGCAGAATGACAATAGACAGCAGTTTCAAATGGGAACTGAAGACACATACTACATTTAGTTCAAACTGCAAGATTTAGGATGGCAGAAGTAGCTGTAAAGGAAATTGGCCAAAATATCAGGGTTTAAACTTCTTCCTTTTCCAAAAAAAGGTTGAGAGGCTGTTAATGAGGACTTGAATTTTTCTGCCTCATTGGAAAAATGGTATGTCTAACAAAGGAATTACCTATACAAGAGCTCTAAGGAAAACTAATCCAAATTAACTAAAGGTGTGAAATTCAAGTGGATTAATTAAACCACATTAATTCTGAAGTGAATCCAAATAAACTGAATATAAAAGCCACTTTAATTCAGAATAAGAGAGCTTCCAAGAGGTGAACTAATGTGTTTCATGTAATCTACCTTAAATATACCTCTTTAGTTAATTTAGATTAATTTTTATGAGTGTCCCTGTGTAGACAAGCCTATTGCTGATGTGTTACACCACTGGGACTCAATCTCCAAACTCCTATTTCACCACCTAGTCAATAACTGACTTTCATCAACACTGACTGGTAGTGAAACTTTCTTGGTCCCACCAGCTGTGGCCCGAGCTGCCTAGTCTCCCAAATACAAGGATACCCAGACAAGTGGCTCTTCAACTTGTTACCTGAGACTGTCTGCGGGGAAGTAATTTGTTTGTAACTATAAACATAAATTTAGTAAGCACTGGAGAGGCTTATCACTTTGAAAGCACATTCCCCTGATGGACCATGCACATTTTAACTAAGGCACTGCAGTTTTTTCTTTTGAATGGAAGTATTTTTGCCACAATTCAGCTAGAGATCTGTATGATTCAGCTTGTTGGTTACAAGTGATTGCTTGCATAGTTCTGAGCCAGTCAGGAGTAAACACCACTGCCCCATTTTAACAAATGTTACACAAAGAAAATGGTTGCAAAGGTGTTTTGAGCCATGCTGGCTGATGAACATTTTAAATTGTGTACAAATGTATGCCATCCTACCATGGTGTTCCAGAGTACCCGGGAGAGCTGAGAGTGGGATTTCTGATTCAGATGGAAGCAGTCAGGTGCAAAGTAGGAGAGATCTGGACGTCCATCCTAAGGGTGAGAGCATGAAGGACATTTGAGGGCAAGAGAATCCTTAATGTTTTGTTAGTGTACTTTGATAACTTTAGGACCGAGGCTGTATATTATTTGCCCTTCCACACACAAGGCCGGTTGGTTGTCTAGGGGGAAGAAATGAGGTACTACTCAGCAAGCTAACCAAGTACTATAACAAGCCAACTCCTAAATAAAATTATGATGTGTAACAAGCAGATCTACACCAAGGAGGAACTAAAAATGGGATCACTGAATTCCATGGTTTTTGTGTCCAGGACTTTCACTCAGAGATGCAAATCTCAGAGAATCAAACTCCGCACTCTCCTTCTTAATGAATTATCACCAGCAGTACTGGATCTGCAAATCACATTGCACACTTCAATGTGCTTACATAGATGATAGCTGTTGGAAGTGCATCACTAATAAATCCATTAGTGATGCAGATGAAGGAGCAGAATCTAGTTCCTGCTCTTGTAGCTGCATTAGGACTGCAAGACTAACAGGTTAAAAAAAGAACAGAAAGAATGTTTTCGTCACTAAAATTAACAGATATGATAGTCAGTTTTCAGAGCAGAACTGTACTTTCAGAGCAGTACCTGAAGCAATTTAGGTTTGAAAGTTTTAAAAGCTAGGTTTGCTTGTGGGATATTTAGGACTGGTTAGGAAAGGCTGGATTATACATGAACCAAGGCCAACAGCTTTCAATCCAGAGCTGAACTTCCTCAAAGTTTGAATATGTTTTGATCCAGAGGTTTGGGATGGCTGCTTAGAGGGGTGGGGGCCTACTGCTGAATTGGGATCCATTTCTGATCTTCTTCAAAGTCTGTAACTAGGATTTTGGGTCAGACTAAAGTATTGACCATTAAACCATTGGCCACTGAAAATCATACAAGGACCGTTAATAATATACCAAAATCACCAATATCCGTATTCAGGAACAATATGATTTCAAGAGTGCATAGCAGACACTGATGCTTTACTTTCTATTATCCTAGATGGATTATATGCCATGCACTCACCCACCCCATGTAGAGAGTGACCTCAGACCATACCTGAAGAAGAGGAATCTTGGTATTTCGAAAGAAAGGCTGCACCACCACAGTGAAATTCTCATGGGTATCATACTTGCCAGACTCTGTTAACACCTGAACACTTTCCTACAAGTGAGGAAAAGGACCATCATCAACCATTGAAACTTTTGGTCATCCTTAATTAGTATTTCAGGGTACATGTGTATCAAGAGCAGATGGGTCCTTCCTTCCTTAAGCTGAGAAAGTCAGGGAGTGATGGTATCAGAAGAAAACTGCAAAGCCTCTTTTTTGCCTGAGCGGCTAATAAGGTTAGAGTGTAATGGGGCAAACTGATTCTGAGGGAGTTCTCTGAGGGCTTGCTCCTGGTTTTGATATTCAAAATAACAATGAGACTCAAAGCAGTCATGTCTGGAGCAATTTTGATATTCAAAATAGCAATGTGACCCAAAACAGTTGCGTCTGGAGCAATAGAAATGGACTCTTTTTAGGGAGGGGGAAAGGAAGAGGGAGAGGGAGATATAGGATACCGTGAGTTATGGAGTATAATAAAAACTGACATATCACTGGATAACCCAATCCCCTACCTCAGCAATAGGCAAAGTGAATGCACTGATTCCAATAAAGATACCTTGTAGGCTCTTGTAGCTTCTGTCACCATCACCAGTTGCTGTGAGCCTTCCTTCACTGGGAGAACACAGCCACACAGATTGCTGAAGAAGAGGTTAAAGAGGTGGGAGATATATGAGGGATCAGATAGAAGACTGTGGAGGCAATCACCTATTATTCCCTATCTGTGAGAATGCCTGAAGGCCCCTGCCTTCTTTCACAATCTTAAGTATCAATTTTATTATCTGTCCTTTGCCTTATGGATGGGTCAAAATCTCTTATCGGCTTGGCTACTTCTTGAAGCATATCAAGGCAACATGCACTACTCTCTGTCAAGTTATGTCCCATGACTCAGTCACCTAAAAGACTGTTGAGTTGTACTGCACACATGTTGCATTTCAAGGAGGTATGCTTTGAAATTTACTAGGCCACAGGTAACTGACAACAAAATATACCCTCATACCCAACAAGACTGAATGCGTTGTCACAAGATGGAATTTGCCTCTATGCAAAGGGTCAGTGCAGAGACGGTGGATCACCTCAGTCCCACTTAAGCCTTAGGAGAATCTAGAAATCAGAGCCTAATGATTAGGCCTTTTAACATTTAGCCCTCTTGGAGCTACAGGATGAAGTCAGAGCAGTAACAGAAGCCCAAATTTGCTACACTAACCACTGCCTGGAGCTCATACCTGTCTGTTACCCCAGCCCAAGAATGGACTGCTCTGCTGGCCCCATCTGAGCCCAGAGACACAGCTGTCTGTTTCCCTAACTAGAGCCTGAGGAACCTAATATTCCATTACCCTACTCCTAACCTAGAAAATCCGACCACACTATAAACCTGGCCTGGGGAGGCCTAGCAGCCCCCAGGATAACCCCAGAGGCAGAATTTCCACTGATGCATCTCTGGACTGGATCACCCAACTCCTGCTTATCCTAACTGTACAACAGGAAACCTAAGTCTCATTTTTTACCCTAACCCTTAATCCCTGCACCCTACAAATCTCAACCTTAGATTGATGGAGTTGAATCTAACCAGTCCAGTGAGCCCCCTCAGGCCCAGCCCCAACTGTAAGGCTCCAGTTAGTTGAATCCTGATCTAGCAGTCCTTGCTTGTCTCTAAAATAATCCTGTCTGGCAGGCCTCATCTGTCCCAACCCTCACCCTGGCTTTGAGTGCTCTACCAGTCCTTGCCTTAACTCACACCCAGAGAATCAAACCATCTGTGAGCCTAACCCTAACCTATTGGTCCTATCAGCTCTACCTTCACAGCTAAGCTTGACTAAGAAGGCTCCCAAAGGTTCTCGAGCACACTACTATACCCATCTGTAACCAGGCTGGGTGAAGTCTGCCTTTCCCAGGCCCAGTCACAGCCACACACTATGCCTCAAATAGCAAAACATAACAGCTCCCATAGCCCTATAACCATAGCCTGGGGAAGCATAACAGCCCAAACTTTATTCTTAGATAGGGAGTCCTGCTCATCCTAATCCTAACCTTAGCTAAGTGATCTCTGTCCACATCAATACTAGCCCTAACTCGCCTCAGTGGTCACCATGGCCTGGAGGGTTCTGCCAGGCCCAACTCTTATTTAACCAGCAAGCTCAGCCCAAACCAGCCATAATGCTAACATGCCTCAATCCTAGCCAAACCCAATTAGTCCTGTCCATCCTTACTCCAAGTCTATTATTTCACAAGTGCCATCAGCTTTAATGTTTTCTTTATCCCAATGATCTCTACCAGCACCAACCATAACCCTAGCTCAGAGTCCCACTTGACCCAGCCATCACCCTGACCCAGCAATCCCCACCAGCCTTAACCCTGACTCTAGCCAGGCAAGCCTTGTCTGTTCCTACTCCAAGCCTATCCAATGAACCCTCTGTCCCAGTCCTAAGCCAAGCGTGCTGAGCTCCACTTGCACCAGAAAGCCTGCCCACTCCAAATCTATTGCTAACCCAGCTGCCCCAACTTTATCCCTTTGCCCAACCAGCCCTTCCAGCCATAACATTAATCCAATGACTTCCGGCACTCCCAACCCTAATAACAGTGAGCTCTGCCTACACTCACCTGAAGCTTTGTCTGCTGAGCCCTGCCAAACCTAATCCTAATCTAAGTCTATTACTAGTGTAGGATTTGGGTCAAGTCTGGGAGTGTTCTCCTGTTTAGAGTAAGGTAAGCAGTGGAATCCACTGCTAAATCCACTAACTAAAGATGTGTATTTAAGGTTGATTAGATAAAACACAGCAGTCCACCTCTTGGAAGCTCTCTTATTCTGAATTAAAGTGGCTTTTATTCAGTTTGTTTGAATTTGCTTCAGAATTAATGTGGTTTAATTAATCCACATGAATTTCACACCTTTAGATAATTTGGATTAGTTTTCCTGAGAGCTCTTGTATATGTAATCCTTGTATAGGAGCTCTTGTATAGATAATCGTTAGGTACACGAGGATTGGGGTTGTGGTTTAAGATCATGTGCTTAACCATGTATAACCACATATTCGCAAAGGGACTCCCAGCAATCCCAGCACTAACTTGGCAAGGGTCAAATCTTTCTTCTGTAACTATAACCCAGGACCAGGTAGCTGCTTGGGGATAAATGAAGGACTTGGGACACTTGCTCTTGTAATCCCTTTACTGTACTATAGCAAAGCCACCACTAGATAGCCTCATCAGGCAGAAGAGTTCAATGTGAACACTGCACATGGTGTCTACTGGGATCTAATGTGGTCAGTGGATACCAGGTTGCCTCTGTGGGGAATTATGGAAAAGAAATTGTGCATTATCATCATTAACAGTCAGTGTGGATGCCAGAGGAGGCCAAAACTGCCTTACTCTTCTAGATGTGTGGGGCACTGTCCTTGGCTATCCTGAAACATCTGCCTCAAAGGGATGAGGTCCATTACTTCAACCAGATTCACAAAGGCTCTGGGAACCTGAAAAGAAAATCAGAGCACGGTTTAGCAGGAGTGGGTCATAAGACAGCAATATATTTATTTAAAGACAGTGTCCAGCTGTTCATTCATTTCTTGTTACTGACTTAACCATGCATTCCCAATTGCTGTTCCTGCTCCTTCCCCCATCTCATTTGCCTTGACTTTTCCCTTTTTCTGTCTATGACTACATTGGTTCCTGTCATTCCAGGCCATACCTCATTGTTTGAAATTAAAGAAATAACAGGATGTGTTATACAACAGTAGGAGACATTTGCAACCAGAACTGATGAAGGAGAAAAAAATGCATACCACTGATTTATGCCCTAACACAGGCCAGTGCATTGACAAAATAACACCACTTACCTCTGCATGCAAAATGTCAAGGGCTTCTTGAATGTGCCTAGTGAAATTTACAGCTGAATAGTGATTCTAGGAGACATAGAAGAGAATGGAATTACCATCAATGGAAGGTCACAAGTGGCATCAGAAGAAGAGATGCTGCATTCATTCCCTTCCCCTTCCTTCTACCTTGCTGCTCAGCTGCTTTCAGTGAATGATCCTGCTCTTTTCATCTCTACATAAGCCACCTTGGAAGGAACTCTATGTGACTGTGTGCTAAATGGGTTAGCCTGAAAACCCATTTCATTCATGCCTTGTCCTGCTGCTACTTGTTGAAATCACTGTTAGGCAAAACCGTGCTAGCCCTGGCCAGCCCCACAGGAGCTTGGCTAGGCCTGTTTAAGAGCAGTTAAGTTATCATACCACTAGGATTCTACCTCTCTGCTGCATACTGGGTGCAGATGAACTCAAGGTGCTCATGGTAGTGAACACAGTAGAGGTGTATGTATGTAAGAATCAAGAGATTCAGGGTTGGGTTTAAAATTGGAGGCCTCTAACCCTTTCCCCCAAGCTCTCCTCAGGGCAGCTTTCTGAAGGTTTTCCTCCAGTCTGAAGCAGCCTACAACCCTGCTTCTAAGAACCTTCCTGCACCAGGACCTGTGGGGGATGGCAGGGTGAGCTGCATAGGTTTTCTAATGGTGGCTCAATGCAGTGTACATCTTCACTGGCTGGCAGTTATAGGGCTTCTGTGGCACCTACATGTCACCAGACTGCAGAAGAGAGAATCTCTCTCTCTCAGAAAGACAGAAGAGGTAGCCTCTCTCATACACTTCTACTCTGGTCGTCCTTTTAAATCAATTTTTTTTTTTTAAACAGCCATACCGCTGCTCACTGCAACATGTGTTAAAATCAATCCCTTTACTCACAGGGTCTTTGCAATAGTTGCACAGATCATTGGCTCCAATTAACACAGTGATGATCTTCCAGTCGACATTAAAGTTAATTCTCTGTATAACAAAGAAAAGAGAAGTTCAAGTTGACTACACTCCTGACTGATGTGCACCCTGTGTCCTGGAAGGCACATCTGTTATGTGAAGTGACGTTGTTTAATCTTGCAGCATGAAAAGGAACAAAGTCCCAGACAACTTACCGGATCATTTTTCATTAGTCTCACCAGAGTTCTTGCTTGGCTTGGTAATCTCCTGTGGAAGAGGACAATCCATGAGCAATGGAAATACTACCTTGCAGAATACGAGCATCCATGGAGAGAATGTTTATTCAGTTACCTACATGACTCCTAACCTTCTCAAATCCATGCTACTCTCACAAAGTCAAAGGCCTTCCTGAGTTTGGCAACTCAAAGGGCTAAGGCTTAGCAAGTTCTGCAGAGAACAGCACATGGGAGAACAATGTGACCAGCAACATGCCCTTGACTCTCCAGCCTGAATGACCATGTGTCCAGTTACAGCCATGTTCCCTGGGGGCACCAGTAGCACAAGTCTGGAATAAGGCTAGAACTAATTTCTCTGAAACCATGGAGAGAGAGACACCTTAATCACTTTGCCATTGTACCTCTCACTCTTGGGGTGTATGGCAACACAGCCTTCCCCATTTAACAGGGAAGCCAAGTGACTTATCTAAGTTTGCATGGGGAATCAATGTCATAGACAGGATCTCCGATCTGTCCCATGCCTTAATCCTCCTTTGCTGTATAATTCCTAGAACAGAGGAAAAAATAAATACATAGAATAGCCTTACAGTTTTTAGAATGTCAGATACAGCAAAATCCTTGTTAGCAAACAGCATGATTAGAACTGGGGAATAAATCTATTGAAACTGCAATGAAGCTTCAAATCTCAGGCTCTAAATAATCCCTTTAATCAACATCTCTGTGTACACTGAATATTTTCAAACCTGCCGTGACTCTAAGGAAATGTGCCCAGCAAATATTGAAACAAACTGCTTACATTCCTGGGGCTACTGCTCAGAGTTAGCACTTCACTCTCAATTACAGCAAAGAGATTTTTGCAAAGATCTTCAGGCAAATGAAAACTGAAGCTACTTATCAGATCACTCTGACAGAGACTAAACAGACTGGCTTGCTTTCTGTATGTCTGGCAAATGCCATACAATCTTTGCCATGGATTCCAAGTTACTTAGACTAAACTGCTCACCACTGTTCAGCTGCCCTGACATCCTCTGAAAAAGATAATTTGAATGGAAAGTTTTGCCCTTCTAGGCAGCTCTCTAGTTTTGGACTGAATTGTATTTCCCTCTGGGTCTTTTTTAGAAAAACAATCACTGACATCATTTCATGGAGTACATCTACTGACATTAATGAGCCCAACATGCTTATGGTTTGTATGGAAACCAAAGCTTTGCTATCCTGTGCTGTGCTAAATAAGCCACTGAAGGAGGAATTTGCCCTCACCTCCCTATCAGCAAACAGGCCAAATATTAACACAAATATATTCACTTGAGAATTGCCTTGCTCTGCATTTATTTGTGAGGCAAATGTTCTTATAAGCATATAAGATTTTTCTCCTATCTGCTCCTGGTTAATCTTGACCAATGCCACAAGCAGCTTATACACCTCCCATTTTTACCCTTGGAACAAACATTGCATTAGTCCCAGGACAAGTTGTGTGTGTGTGTTTGTCCTCGAACAGAAATGTCCTGGGATTGGTGTGTACACACATCACCCTTCCAATCAGGGTGTAGCAAGTGGCTAAATGCACTACAACTTATCTTTGATTGATTAAATAATGCAATCCTGGGACAACTGTTCAGATGCACTTTCCAAAGGCCTGGGACAAACTGTTAATGCTACTGGCCATGTGAAACTTTTTAGGGTTTGTCCTGGGACAACAGATATGGATGTCTAAACAATCCCACTTTGTCCTGGGATAAAATGATTTCTCTCCAGACAAATGCAATGTCTGTTTGTAATCAAAGGGTCAGGATTTTTTTTTTTTTGTCTCATTTTGGAAGATGGCACTTCCATTCACCTAGCACCTGCTACCATCAAGCAAGGCACATAGACTTTAATGTTGACTTAGAAAGGAACTACCTATTAAATCTCACCTATGCCCCTTTTTGCAACAACCTGGATTTCCTGTAGAGCCTTTCAAGTATTTATCCAACCTGAGCCAGCCTGGCTGAAAAGACCAGACCAGATTGCAGCTGAAGAAAAACCGACTACACGCATTTCCTTTTTTTGTTTCCAAGGCAGATTTCAATTTAAGTTCTTCAAAAATGGGCTAGTTGGGTGAGAGACATAACTCATTACGTCAGCTCTTTCCCATCCTTGCCTTGATTCTTCTTAAAGTTTTTATGATACCAACATAAGCTGTTACCACAGAACTATCACCTCCATATGCTGCTATAGTGGTAAAAGTGTAGAAAAAACATCACAACTTATAGACTTGTTTTATTCAGAGCTAAAGTTACACAGCAGCACACAGACATAATTGCATTATGACAGCTGATGTGACTCCTAAGGGGCAGCTATCAATTTAAAGCACCTAAAACGTTACATTTGTCCATAGCTTTAGGCATAGGATTTACTGTAGGCACACATTTATATGTTGTGGGTGACCAGGCATGTCCTTAAAAATGTGCTCACAGTGAGGCTCATGCTTAAAAGCTTTGCCAACTGAAGGACTACAAATTATTTCGACTCCCATATATCCAACGGGTCCTTAAACCCCAAACCCAACATTTCATAAATGGCTTGAGAAAACACTGTAAGCACCCATAACTGTATTTAATACCACTAGGTACACAGTCTTGACCTGAGCAACCAAAACAGAGACATGCCAAATAGATCAGTTTTGAAAACGTTGGCCTCAGCTTTCACTTATAGACTATCTTTTTATCATCTGGGTAAAACGAAGAGGGATTTCTTTGTCTCATAAAGAATGAACTCTTGATAGCATACTGATACAGAGCCAAACATCTGAACTAAGAGAAACAGTCCCTTCCTCCCCATGGTGCCTTGAAATTCAAGAACCACACAGAGATAAGTTTATCTCCTCAGATAAGACTATAAATATCCTGTGACAGAAATGAACTTGAGGAAGGGAGCAAAGAGTTCAGGGACATTACCACAGTATCTGCTTAGATGGAAAAAAACTCATGGGGCATGTCCAGATGACCAGGAATGTGCACTTCGTGGCACCTCAAAGGCTTTTGAGGTGCTGCAAAACACATGCGGTGCACATCAACATGTTCTCCACTCTGCATATTTGCAGCATGGAGCCAAAATTAGACTCTTGGCTTTTGTCATCTGGAAAAAGGCAGGCAGATTTGCACCTAATAGACTAACTAAACTAGAGAATGATATAATTTACTTGGCCTTCTGCCTGACTTCGGACTACCATGGCTAACTACCTCTGTTTTGTCATCTGGATAATTGTCTCATAGGGTTTACGCTGACACCCATCAGCTCAGTTCAGATGGGCTACCAAATAGCAATCTAAGAGCAATGAGTTTTGCTACAGTAATGCCAACTCTCATGAAAAAATCATGAGACTCCCGCTTTCCAAGTCAGATTAACTCTGACTCATGATCTCCTGATAGAGAGATCTGATCTCGGGATTTTTTTCTTCAGTCACATTTAGAGAGCGCTAAGCTTGTAAGTCTGTGGAGGAGAAGGGGCGGTGGGGGGCAGATAGAGGCCCCCACTGTGAGGGAAGGAGTGGGGCAGGGGCTGGGGTGAATAGGGCCCCAGGGCTGGGGGAGACATGGGGGCACATGCCCCACAGATTTGTGCATCAGGCAAAGGCAGGCTGCCTGCTGTGGGCTGAGGCTATGTGCCCTGCTGCCTTTGCCCCAGGAACTGCATGCACACACTTCAAAAATAGCATCTCATGATTTACATTCCAAATCTCTTGATTTTTAAGATTTTGTCTCTCAATTTTTGACACAGTGGGGTTGACAATTTCAGGTGGGGTCGTATCAGTAACACTGCGGTGCCTAGTCAATCTGTCATGCATTTTACATTAAATAAGACTAAGGTAACAGTTTTAGTGGTCATTCTTACTGAAGCAAACAGAAGGAAGTTAATATAGTCACATATTCTATCATACATGTGCCAAAATTAGGCTCACTGTATGATTGAGTCAGTGTAGGACATTTTTAGTGCCCCTAACCCCTGCTTGCATTTTGCTGCTCATGTGAGGAGTTGCTTCCCATGGAAACACAAATTAATTCAGTCTTTACTACAAAATGAGAATGCTTCCCTTTCTTGGGAGAGGGAGAGTATGGGGAGGTGGGGTGGAAAGCAGTATTTCACAGCATCTAGCTAACAGATGACGTTCAGTCATCTCAAGGAAAACCAGGAATTTACTGAAAATACTAGGATGAGTCAGAAACCAGTCAAAGCCTGCAGGAGAGTAATAAACAATCTCTGATAAAACCCTAGCTATCATTGCTCAGCCACAGTGAATGCAAAGAGCTCTCCTGGCTTCCAGAGATTCAGCTGCCAGGTGAAGCTGCTGGGGAAATAAAGAGGAATTTTTTAAATGAAAGAGAGAGATTGAACTAGGGGGCTTTTTCTTAACATAGCATTTCTAACCACCAACAAGCACAAATGGACCAGAACTCCTGACCAAACTGTGGCTACTCCCAACTAACTCAGTAGCTAGCTGTTTGGGTTTTTTTATTTAGACAGGCCACTCCCACTGACAGCATCTTTTAGTAAAAAGCCTAGTACTTTTAGGACAAGAACCACCTGGAATCTCTTCCAATTGGGAACCGCACAAGGGATTGATCTATTAAGTCTTTCCAGTGTTAAGCTGTCTTTCCCAAACAGGGCTGAAGCTAAAGAACCATATTCAAACCCAGTGCAAGCTACTGCCACCATTCAGTTAGTAAAGTTGCAGTCATGTCCCCCCAGGTCTGAAATTGGTACAAAGTTTGTCTGGCCAATAACAATACTACATAGGACATCACAGGTCTCCAATTATTTTTTTATTTTTCTCTTTCAAATACTCTTCCCAACACTTCCAAATGTGTAAGACTTCCTTCATGGAAGAATTCAGCCATTCCTTCCTGGCTGATCTGTGCAAACCCCCCACACTTTCATTTTGTAACCCATGCGATCTATTTTTCTGAAAGCCCCTTGTGCTTCCAAGTTGTAACTCACATACAGGAAAACAATCTCTGTGCTTCCTCACTCCTTGGGCACATACTAACATAACCTGGTTTCATTCTAAAATTCAAGTGGAGCTTGAAACTATAGACTGAACAGAGCATAAGCCCTGTTAGCCCAATCCAGGTGCAAAGGTTAAGCTTCCACTGGCCTAGTTTTGCTCATTTTTAACACAGTTATAACAGCATGAGAGGGCAAAAAAGAAACCATTTGAAGCAGCCACGTCAGCATACATCCTTACAATCTAATTGGGGAGAAAAACCCAACATACTTAGCCTCTGCTCCAGGAATGGCCTGATTGAGAAAGGTGTTTGGCTCACTTGCATTCCCAATGCCAGTCGAGTAACCCGTAAGGTTAACGTTGAACTCACGAAAGATATCTGAAAAATGAAGAGGAAAATGAAAGAGAAGTGACTGTACCTGTTTCCCACCAAAGGGAGAAGACCAATGCACTGTACACACCCTCTACTCCTAGGTTACTGGCATTCTCCACTCACCTACATGCACTCAGGGGAAGCATTACTTTGGGTACTTCTGTGCGTGACAAGTAGTGCCAAACACCAAACAAATAGCTTAACCAGTTAGTAGAGACTTAGTCAGAACTGGGTAAAATTTCTTGCTCCAATTCACACACTGTACAATCTCACTGGTTTCAAGAAAAGCCACAGTTGAGATGTTGAGCACAGTAAGGTTCGTGGTTTGTGATCCTCCTTCATAATACAGCAGCTAAAGCTTGAATGAGAACTCTCATGCTCAACTGGAAGTGACCATCACAAGATCCAGAAGAGATCTCAGCTTGGCTGGTCTGGGAGGAGCTGTGACAAGTTTCCCTTAGCTCGAAGTGCTGTGCATTTATCTAATAAGTATGCATCACATACTGATCGCAGATCTGTACATTCAGGGCACTGACAGACATGCAGGTCTCCACTCTAACTCACAGCACTTCACATAGAGCGCCATAAGTTAAAGCAAGCCCCACAACCCAACAGATGTTCACCTGTTGGGTTGGGTGGGGGGAGAGAAAACTGAGCTCCACTTTGGAGCCAATCCAGAGGAGGAGCCTGTGTGTAGCCTCTCCCCCCGCAGTCCTACCCCTCTCCTCCCAGCTCCTGTGCTGTCTGCAGGAAGGAAGGAGGAGGGAGCTGTGGGTTGGGGTTTGCCCAACCTGAGCTGGAGGCAGCGGGGGTTGGGGGGCCCCAAAATCTATCCACCCCACCTCCAGCTCAGGCTGGGCAAATCCCAGCCTGCAGCTCTCTCCCCCCACTCCTCCCCCTTCCTTTGCGCTAGGGATGGGGCTCGGCTGCATCAGCCCAGCCCTGGATCACGCTGACAGACTGACTCTAGGAAACACAAGTTCCCTAAGGTGCTCCACTTTGGAGTGCCTTCATCTGATTCCTTATTAGATTAAGTTAATTCTTCATGCAATTGGCCACTTTTAAAGTGTTCTGCAGCCATATACATATGTCATGGCATAGGTGTACAGCACTTTCAGGGGGCCAATTATGTGGTAAATGCCACTTCTGTCAGAGCTTAGATGCATAGCAGTGAATTATTCCCAGCCCCTCTTCGCTCATTATCTTAGCACAGATGCTCAAAACGAGGCAAAAAAAAATGATTTTACACCTTGCATCTCTCAGAGAGAAGAAAGTGTGTTGCTACAGAAAGCAATGTTATACTTTATATATATGGTTCCAATTATAAAACAGTTCATACAAAATCAATAACTGATTAATATATATTTTTAAAAAGGGTTAATTATTGTAATAGTATCCAAATATAAAAAGTGTGACTCAAAAATAGGCTGAAATTTTGTAGTGGCTGGCAATACCATTAGTCTGCATTTTGATCAAAAGGAAATGTTAGCAATTCCTAATGCGTACATGAGAAAATACTAAGCAATATTCACCTAAGATATCTAGTCTTGGTAAACAGTCTGATACAGAAAGGGACTTATTGACTACTTGCTAAAAGCAAACACAAATCAAGTTACAAAGCAGTCACAGCAAGCTCATTTTCAAGAAGGGAGTGATTTTTTTCCTGCCTGTCCCCAGCTTCACTGATTGTATGAAATTAAATTAAAATAAAATATATACTCTTTCTTTGAAAGGCAAGTCTTGTGAATTATCCCAAGATTTTTTTAAAAGCATAGGAAAACTTCATGGTAAACACACTGCCCAAATCACCACTGTCATGCATCATTTCTCTGTCTCTCACATGTTGGTGATTAGACAGGCCAGCAAAACACCTACTTACTTGGCAGAGTTGTCACACTTCCTAATGAGGCATCCCCTCCAACACTGCAATAAGATAGGGAAACAAAGACGAAGTCAGTGACCTCTAATAAGCTCAGGCTCATGAAAGCTTATGGATTTCTGATTTAGTTAGTCCACAAGCTGCATCTCTACCCTGCCTTCTGCTTAGTAAGACAATTGGTGACAAACCACTCAGATTCTTTTCTCTTTGCCTGGAAAGTAGGAAGGATGGATGATGCTTGGAAGCTATGCGTATTTACAATCAAGTAGAAGGGTCAGGAATGAAAGGTCTCATTTAGGAGCTTGACTGAAGTTTTGGCAACAGAGGCATCCACGGGCAACTGGTGCCCCCTCAGCCCATTTCATTGAGGGAGGGAGGGGTCCCCCACAGCCGATTCCATCGACTGCGGGGGGGGGGGGGGGGGGGTAAAAAACTGCAAGATGGGATGGCTGATCACTGTGGCTGCAGCTGCTTCTGGAAGTGGCTGAGGTCGCTTCTGGGAGCACCTTGGTACTCCACTCCCCAGCTGGCACTTGCAGGGGGGCACCAGTGTCCCGCCTGCCCCCTATGCCTGTCGCCTAAGTGGCGAGTGTGGCCAGTCACGGGGTGCACGTGCACCCCCTACGTGTCACCACTGGAGACATCTGTCACAAGGGCTCATGAGGAGGTCTTGTAGCTGAGACCATGGGTTGAAATAATTAGCTGTAGAACTGCAGAAAAATAAAGCTGCTGGGAAGCTGGCTAGTATCAAGTAACTTCTTCAAGGAGGGGAGAGCTGGTTAAAAATGCATGGCTGATAATATTTTCCATGAAAACTGTGACAAAACCAGAAGCTGTCACAAAAACTACCAAACCCAAAATGGAATGTCACAGACTGAAGATTGAAATCAACTCCCCCTCTCTCCCCAACCACCACCAAAAAAGAAAGTTGAGAAGAAAACCAAAGTCTTCCCATGAGAAACGGAACACATTTTCTCACCATCTTTACTTGTGACTTACCTCCAGGACAGCCCCCGATATTCTGTATCCACATCGGAGAGGTTGTTTGGTCCAGAGGCAATTCCATTACCAGCCTTGCCAAAAAAACCCACACACACACACAAATAGGAGGTGTAACACTGAACCATTAACAATTTGGTCATTCATATATAATTTGGTGATGTTGTTTATTTTCTAGGCAGTCTTTCCTCAACAGTCTGTCCCGTTTAAGCTTGTGATTCTTTGGCACCCAGCTTTTCAGGAAGAGGGTTATGAGCAAGAGCTTCAAAACTCAAGCCATTTTTAAAACTCAAAGATAGGGGTGTCAAACACCTCAACTGAAGGCTGGATTTGGCCCATGGACCAATTCATCCAGCCCACCAAACTACAGTCATGGCTGGGTTGAGGGGCCTGCCACAGAGTCTGGGGACCTTGAGGCTCAGTGGACATGGTGATCAGCAGCAGGAGGGCAAGTGAGGGTTGATAAAGCCCCAGTTGCCCTCCAGCCACTTCACCTATCTGCACTCCTGTGGCCTTGCCTCCCCAGCCATTAGCCCCTGCTGCATGCCCTATGCTGGAGCTGCCACCATGGCACACGACACGCAGGGGGGCAGCTCCAGGTCCAGCATGGGGCACACAGTGGGACCTAGAGCCACTGCCATGTGCCTCAGGTTGGAGCTGGAGCTGTTGCTGCATGCTCCAGGTCAGAGAGAAGCTGTTGCCACCACTACCACCACAGCTTCCTCATGCCCCAAGATGGATCCAGCTCACAAGGAGCCCTGCAGCCTGGATCCAGCCCAGGGCATAAGGTAAGTTCCACATCCCTGCTCTAAAAGATTCATTCTGGATGTGGTAGACAAAATATACAATTGCTTGGCAGACTGCACAGAGGTTTTATTGAAACAACCCTGGACAAACCGTACATTTGGAGCTTCAGTACTCTGAAGTAATACAGACCTCTCCAGCTCAAGCCAATAAAACCCCAGCACTGCATAGTTGCCTGTATGTGAGTACTGTCAAATACAAGGTCAACAGAGCATTCCGCTAACTATGCACTGGGCCCAGTTTTGCCCTCAGATATGAACACACAGCTGGTATTTCTAAGAAGACAGAATATATCCATAGTTCCTTAAGCAGTGGTATCTGAGATACTAATATAACACTGTATTCATAACAGGAAACAACAGCAGTATCACAGATACTATCAAACGGCAACTATTATAATTGTATGCTGAATAGCTGATTTTAATCAGTACAGTATATTTTTAATCAAATATTCATTGCAAATCTATTTGTTGCAATGGGTGCCTCTATACAGAAATCCACACCAGACCTACCAGGAAGTTGTGCATTATGTACATACAATATGTTCTTATGGTTTTATTATTTAGGAATTGAACTCCTTTTAACATTTCAAAGGGAAGGACACCATCCTCAGTGAGAACTATATCTTGATAAAGGAACTTGTTAGGAGTTCACCAAGCATAGTAAAGGTTTGAGTGTTTTCTGAAAAGGGTAAAGCCAGAGGGTTTTCTTTCTTTGCACATTAATATCTTAAAAATGGCAAACAACATTTCACATAACTAGCCCAATCCACAACCTACCTGTCCACTACCCATTTCTCTTTTCCTCCAATTATCAGTTATATTTTAACCATGGAAAAACTGAAGCACAGAAGTCAGATTCTGCACAAGCCTTAAGCATGTGGCTCACTTCAGACATGCACTTAAGTTTCACCGAGGTCAGTGGTACTTACTCCCCTAGTTCAGCAAACCATTTAAGCAAGCGCTTTAGTGATTTGCCAAAATCCAAGGCAACTTTGGGAACTAGAATCCAGGAGACCAGAGACCTTGTCTCCTGTTCTAAGCTGTTAGACCTCTGTTCCCTTCCCATGAATGACACTTTCAGTGTCAGGCACAAGAACTCAGCTCCACCTGAGCAATCAAATGTGATACTGGTCCACCAAAGAAATCAACAGTAAAAGCACAAAGCTGCTTACAGTCAAAGAATCCCCAAGGGCTGCTATCACTCGCACATCAGCTGGTTTCAAGGCATGCACTGTAAGACAAGAGATGCAGTTAAGCCTGCAGAGGAGGAAGAACTAGGCCTTCACAGGGTTATGAGATGTGCATTTCTGCACTGAGCAGCACCCATGTTACAGTGCTTAAGCAATGAAACAAAAAACTCTCTCCAGCTCATCTTACTATAGGTTAGCAGTAGCATAGGTTCAACAATACATGCATGTTAGTCAAAAGTTTTTACTGCTTAAGACAGTTAGCAAAAAACACACAAAGCAAAAGCAAATATCCCCCATGTTGCCCAAAACAGACACATCTCTAACCTTAGAAAGACCAA